TACTTTCGAATGTGTAACCAAATTACCTTGAGAGCCTTTTCCTGGATTTTCCAGCATGTCTGCTGCTTGCTGAGGACTTGCTGCAGCTGCAGTGCTAGCAAGAGGAGCTCCAAATAACATACTTGATGCATGAGACTTTTGCAACTAAAGTTATAAAAAACCATGCAACGAACCTCTTCGGAACATTTGCGACTATGTTGCCTCAGTAGATGTTGCGGGGTAAATTTTCTCTTCACTACCTGAAACAGTGTGAAATTGTGTGAAGTTAACAGGAAAAAAAGAGGAAGCACCACTGGCTTCTAAGTCAGCTGAAGCATTCAACACAAACATTCCCAGCTAAGCCTGGCTCCACTTTCCTTGTTGTTGGTCGCTTATGATGCCTTGTCGCTCTTTCCAGAAGCCCTAGATAGATTCCGTCAATATACTTATTAATTTTAATTCTCATCCCTTAATTTTTGTTATAAACACATATTACTTCCTTTATTTTTTTATTTTATTTTTTTTATGATTTATTCTGCTAAATACCCTTCTAGGCCTTTTCTGAATTTTCACGTTGATTTCCTTCTGTCACCCACCTCTGTCCCACATAGGTGATTCTGTATTCATGTTCCTTTTTTTCGTCGAATTTAATCAATTCTGTAATGACATAGTAGATGTATTGTGAAAAAATGTTTCTTATTTTGATTACCTAAAAATTCTTGGATAGTATTCATGTCCGTCTTAGCTCTGTCTAATGATTATGTTTCCAATGTTCACTTGAGATTAGCGTAATTGAAGCCGTTCTTCTATAATTTTCTGAATATGACTGATTATATCCTCATTATTATTTCAGACATATAATATCAAGGAAAATTGAGAGCTAATCACCTGATATGATGTTTTAATTGGCCTGTTTGATGCCAGAACTAGATATTTAATCACCTCAAATGGAAACTTTTGTCTGTTATCATATTTTCTTATCCAAAATTTTTTGTCTCAGCATTGTACTTTTTGCTTGCAGAAACATTAGTGTAATGCATCCATTTTCGTTTACTTTGGTTTCATTCGTGAGATCAAGTACTGATAATGGATAAAGCCACAAAATGATTTCTTCTGTTTCCGGTTGCTTGTTGAATGATGGAGCGTAAATCACTGAAGTGTCATCCATGTATGTGGAGGTATTGGCAAATTTTGAGTAATATATTCTTTAGATACCACGAATTTCATATCTCTTTTGTAAGAACTGAAATTTTGTTTCCACCTTCCTCTCCATTTCCATTGTTCGGTTTTTTCATAATCAATATTTGCTTGTTAGTACTAGCTCATATCTTTTGAAAACCCTGTATCTCCATGTAATAGAATACTTTCGTAGCATTTTGATTAAATCACCAGAGAAGATATTGTGAATCTCATTAGGAATGTTTAATGTGAATTGAACTGAGGAGTTCAATGCTAATTCTTTGTTGGTATTATTCGTAAGCATCTAATCCAAAATACTATTTTAATTCACCCCAAACTATGAATTTAGAAAACTCTTTGGATTATGTTGATGAAAGGAAAGATCCAGGAATAATATTTGTGAATCTAGAATGTCCGTTTCTCATGAATTTAATTCACTCTTATCCTCTTGCTTTTCTGTTGACGTAGAACTGCTTTTCTTGCCATCTGGAACCATCGATAGATTTCATGCCAGAAAGATTCTGTGAGATATGCTGTATTTATGGAAGTGAATGTTCACGTTTTAGAGATCATGCTCAGGCATGTTTGGTGATGTGATGACTTCAAGTTCGGGATTTTTCTGCCACTGAAGTAGATTGGCGTCTCTATTCAGTTATATTTTGGAACCTGTCACAGCATCATCCCCTAGAATCCAGGTCCTGGGAACCGTGATCACAAGATTATCCCACTAAACCAAACAGTCAAAGACAAGCACAGAGACCAACTCTGTCACTCGTAGAGAACTGTCTATCTTCCTGCTCTCCACTGAAAAACTCTTCTTGTTATCCTTTTGATGGCCTTTTCCTACATGGCAGGTTAAGGCCTCAAACCACATAAACCACAGTTAGGGTTAACCAGCCTATTAGCTTAAGCAAGTGCCTAACAGTTCCTTCCCCTAATAAGGGAATCCTTGTCCTCAAGCATGTTCAGCACATCAATCGAGTCATTGACCAAATCATCATCCCATCCTTAACCTCCGGTACTGCACATCCTCCAACATAGTCGGGACTCTAATCCATGTGATGCCACACATGCTGCCATATCATCATTCTGCACAAATATTTTTTCTTGGCAGGAGTCATACTATAAGAATTTGCACATACCACATCCATTTCTCAAGGAGTGACCTTCATCGAACTGGGTATGATTCACTAGGAGACATGGTCAAATCAGCTTCAACTCAGTAAATAATCCGATCCATGATAAATATCGATCAAATGAAATGTTGATTTTTCAGGTTGGTATAGAAGCTCCGCTAAAATTCTAACACAAAACTAAAATGATTGAGGGAGTAACCAAGGGCATTTTCAATTTATATTATTTAACATAAATAAGTGTGTCCCCAGAAATGACCTGTTACAAAATGTCTATAAAACATCCAAGCCTTAGTAAATCCCACATTGCAATCCAGGAATATGTATGTCTCCAGGAATAATCCATCACGTCATGTCCTTGCAAATTCCAGGATGACTGTGCTTCCAAGAGTTATATCTCGTGAACCAATTCAAAATTAATTCCATGTCTTTGATCAAAAGTATAGCTCTTGTCATGAACAATCCATTGACACCTCAACAAGAATCAACAGATACTGGATACAGGAGTTATGAACCGTCAAAAGTTGGTCAACCAAGAATAAACTGAGATAACATTCCTTCCTCAATGTTTCAACTATATCCCTGGGAACCACCACAAGATTATTATGTCCAGGAGATTCATCATTTCCTGTTCTAACCCTGTAAGGCCCCTCGATGAAGATAACCACAATGTTAAATTAAATGATCAAAGACAAGCATAAAGATCAACTCCACCACCGGATCGTAGAGCTCAATCAAGAACTCACCCTGGAGCTGTCTCTCTTCTTGCTCTCCACTGAAAAACTCTTTTGTTGTCTTTCCTCCCAGAACCCTATTCAATATTCCTTTTATAACTGATGACCTTTTCCTACGTGACACCTTTTACCATGTTAAGGCCTTTTAACTTGCTAGGTCAAAACCACATAAACCACAGTTAAAATTAACCAGCCTGTTAGCTTAAGTAGGCATTTAACAGCGAGGAAAAGGTCACTGGCAGAAGTGTCAATTTCAGTGCACGCAGCTGCGAGCTCGTGGATGATGAGCAGCTGGATCCTGGCTTGATCAGAAGAGTCAGTGCTGAGAACCGAGCAGTCCTGCTTGAGATCAAAATGTTGATGGCGAGTGAAAAAATGTAGGGCTCCAAGGTGCTGGTTGGCAGCTTGAAGCTGAAGATTGCGGCCTCTAGTGTGGGGAAGACCCTGGAGAAACTCCTGGATGTGGTCGAGGTCTAAAGAAAGAGCTGCTCGTTATCACAAACTTTGTGAGGATGCTCCCCATTTTGCTTCATAGCTCCCATGAAAACACGTCCAAAAGCTGCAGTGAGGGCCTCAGATGGCCTTGTTGAGAGTCTAACCTCAACCCTCTCTCACACTCACTCTTGCAATATATACAAGAAATATATGTATTGTGCGTTCGACCCTGATAATAAGAATGAGTTCATATTGTTTTTTTCACAGATTGTAAGCAAAATGCAGGTTATTCAGCTGTTTCAAATGTTCCCAGTCACAATCTGGGGATAGAGCGTGCGAGGAGAGAGAATTTGGCTGGTGTTTAGGGCTTAATGTGTTAACCATGTGTTTATTCTGTTTAAGCCCTATATTTGACCAGGGCCAATATAATAACTTCAAAAATTACGAGGGTCGGGTATATTAAACTTTTTGCATCTTGAATCAGCACACGGATCCCAAATACATCGTTGAGGAGCTTTCTATTTCTTGCTAAGTGCTGGCTGTATTAGGGATCAAATGCTTGCCCAACCGAGGACACCACTCAAGACAGTCGACTACAAGATTACAAGGCTTTTAAAATGCTAGTAAGGCATGCATACCTTTTCTTTTTCATCAAGCATTTGCTTTCTCACACGCCGCCGCTCAGCCAAATCTTCTGCTGTCAGTCCGAGCACCACGTCACCCAACACAAGCCTCATCAGGCCATCAAACAAGCGCAATGAATCGTCAGCAACAGTGCCCGAGTGCGTGACGCTGGGCAGCCGATACCACTCCGAGCACAAGTAGAACTTTCCCACCAGCATCACTCCTCGGGGGTAGATCGCATCCGGCTTCTCAGCATAGCACCGCCTGTAGAACTCAGTTCCCTTGGCCAGCATCGACTGCAGGTTGTCAAAGCTGTGCCAACATTTCCCAGTCACGGCCTGGTGCTCCTTGAACAGCTTCATCGACTCCTTGGTGACTCTACCATCACTTCCCACAGTCACGTATCCCTCAGCCACCAGAATCCCGTAAGACCAAGTGTGAGAAGTCATCACCAGCACGTACACAGGCAGCCCGTGTCCGTTTTTCAGGTTCACCAGTAAGTGCTTGGCCGCGTAAAACCCACCTTGGTATCTCGCATTGAACTTGTGCTTGTCTTCAACAAACTTCCTCTCGAGAACCGCCACAATGCGGTCGGGATCCATAGATGACAGCTCCTCCACGCTTTTCTCTTCCGTCGCCACCATTTTCTTGACTCGCTCAAATGCTCGCTCATCGCATACATGTATCAGACCATCTGCGAATCCGGTTGCTACATTCGCCTCTTCCCTCAAGTCGCCAGTCATCTCTGCTGACCCTTCTGGCGTGATCTCCATGCCTGCGTTGTTGGAGCCACTTTCATTGAGCTCGTTTACAGGGTCGACCGTCATCTGGATGGATAAGCTGGCGTTGTCCTCTACATCAACTTTGCCTCTCTTGGACGGCATGCCCGATGTCCCGTGATCCCGTGACCGCTTCCCACACACACGGACGTGCTTGGTAAACTCTGCCTGGGACAGCCTCGTGAATTTTTTCAGAGGCTCCAGAAACGAAAAGTGCAGCGGGAACGCCTGGTTTTCGTTGAGGGGCTCAGAGTATGCATCACTGACGCTCAGGAATCTCCTCGTCCACATCCTTCTTGCTTCCCTGGTCACCTCTGTGTCTAGCACTGGTTCACTAAACTTGTTCACTGCCACTGGAAACTCCCGGCCTTTGGGAACCTCGACAATCTCCACGAGTGGAAAGCACGCCTGGAACACGTCTTTGTGGTAACAGTTTGGCGGAATCTCTAACGGATCGGTCACAGCCCACTTCTTCTTTTTCTTCGTCGCTGCCAAGCTGGTAGAATCCGACTGCTTCGGTGCAATAGAAGGGACATTCGACACAACAGCAGACTCCAGCACAACAGATTTCGTCGCGCCCACCTGCACGTTTGTAGCAGAAGCTCGTTTTGCTTCCAGAACTCGTGCCCGGAGCTCGTGCCCGCTGCCAGATTTTGGCAGCCCCAGCGCGCTGAGAATTTCTTTGAGCGTCGCCCCTTTCATCGCCGAGATCTCATCCTCGCTAACCTGTTCCAAGTCCCAGTCCGTCCGATCCAGCCCTACCGCACTTCGCAGACAATTCCTGAAGAGCAGAGCATCGGAAACAAGTTGCGGCGCATAGCAAACTCACCTCACGCTCTTGCGCTTCCCCATCGCGACCAACAGCCCTAAGAACCCTAAAACTTCTAAATTGAACGGGTACATATTAAAATATTATCGAGCTCACAAACTTACTTTTGGGGTGTGTGTTGTTCCCATTTGGTTTTCCTTTTTAATATGTTGGATATCACAATTTTGGCATTCACATCAGGTGTGATTGCTTAAATTGTGATCAATAGGTTGACATTGACAGAGTTTTGGCTGCGCAGGCTCTTGACCAGTATGTAGATCACTGTGTTGAGATTGAAAGAAAACGCTAGTGCGCTTTGCATCAGGGCTTTTGCAAAAGAAGCAACATAACCCGCAAGAAGCAAGACAGGCTTCCCATGGACAAGACTTGCTAATGGATTGGTGCCAATTAACTTACAAACTCTGGTTTCACTTGCCCACAGGCGCAGTTCGTTCCTTCATTTGGCAAAAACCAAGAAAAACACTTCTCTTGAACCCCTGTGAAAAGGTGCAAACGACGAATGAAGTTATTCTAGCCGGCAAGAGCAAGAGCGCATCAGAAGATGAGGAAACCAAAAGGTCCCAGAATGTTGCGAGCGGCTTCTCTGATGCACACGCCGATGTGAACGAGGGGGCCTCGACACTAGAGTCGGAGAGCAGAGAGCCGATGAATTAAAAAATGCTGCTCCGAAAACTTTGAGGCTGCAGAATTCGGGCATCACCACTCTTGCCAAGCGACACCTCGTCCAGTGAGGCTAATAACTCTGCCATGATCTGAAGGATTGCAAGAGGCGGTTGCTAGAAGAGGCCCGAAAGAGGTGGCGAGCCTCAACGATTCAATCATGGCTCGGAATGAAGATGCTTCCAAGGCTAACGATTCAGAGGTTTCTGAAGTTCTTGCTCAGAAACTTCGCCAGAACGGAGACGATGAGCATTTTCGCAAGTTCGCTCCCAAGCAAAAGAGATCATTGTGATGTATAATAATAAGATTTTAAGAATTTAGATAACAATTCTACTAAAAATCCCAACAAAAAGTTATAATTTTTGGTTGTTCTTAATATTAAAATATAGCAAATCTGAGTAAATTATAATTCTTAGTTCGTATAGGGCCGCATTTTCCATGTGGGGAGGTATAGAAATACATAAAAGCTAAAATGTCCCTTACCCAAAGGGGTAAATTTTAACTTCAAGGCTTTTAATATAGTTTCCCTTGAAAACTTGAGTGGTGTTTTGTAATAGGTTTTTGTTTCCTTGCAAATTCAGGAGTATACTCCAGTATTTTTGCCAATTAAGTGAGAAGAAAATCCAGTCAGCCAAATGATCATGTCATATGCCTGAGAAACATTAAATGCTGAAAAGATGATGCCTCTTGAGCCCCCTAAACACGTTGTCATAACTACTGGACACTTCAGCATCCCAACCCAATTAAATAATCTCCTGAGGTGGACACGTTACCTTTTCAGAATATATTAATTTAAAAACATTTGTGAGACATAGTGTGCAAATTTGAAACATTCATAACAATGATATATAAGGACAACTACAAAGAAAACGATTTGATAGAAACAACCCCACGAGAGCAAAGGTGAGGAGGAAGGGATATGGTGCATAAGGTTTTGGAAGTAGCAGGTATGATAAAGGGCCTCGTTCTGGTTGCTGCTGAATGCCTAAATCTCCTAAACACAAGCACTCATCTTATGTCCACAAAGATCTTTTGCCCTGTTTGAATCGGAAAGGGGGAGACTAATAACGCAAATCGTCTTCGTGCAACTAAGGTACACTAAGCTTCTGTTTCAGAGGAGCTTGACTAAGTGAAGTGAAACCATTGACAGCAATAATAAGGGGAAAAATATCTTCGACACCCAGTTTTCAACAAAGGAACTTGTTCTAACTTATTTTCTTATCTATGGTGTTAGATAACAGGCATTTCTCACCTGGGAATTTAATAACAATCTGTATCTTATTTCTTCATCTTCATCTTCTCTCGATAGTAAATCAAAGTGATTCTTGCTTGTTTTGATCTAATGCTTGAATGATTTTTCTTTTCAAATTATTCAATGAGAGTGATTCCAATTGATGAAGATTTATTAATATTGTTTGAGAGAGTAGAGCCATGATCTAGCGATCATCATACTAATTCAAAAATCCTCATAAAACAGTAGAAGAAATTTAAGTGCAGGTCAACGAGCTTAAGAATATCCATATGAATATTCTATTTGTGTTTTTTTGTAGGGATGTCCCTTTTCAAAAATTATACTTTAAAAAAACTAATAAACAAAACCCGCACCATTCAAGTGGCAGGATTTTTCTTCCAGCACAACTGGTGTAAAAGTTTGCACCATTCTGGAGGAAGGAATGTATTACAGCATTCTCTTTTTAAGATTTTGAAATTTTTTGCCCTAAACATGAGTTTTCAGAGACAGAATATTTTAAAATATTTCATGAATATTCTATTCTAAACTCTGACAAAGAAATGCTGGGCAAAGTTCTTTTTTTGTTTAGGTGTTTTTACATTTTAGATTCCTTTGGTAAATCTGTTAAACCATTTTTGCCATTTAACATTTTAGATGTCATTAATATTAAATAAATTGATCTTTGCTGAACTCATTTACTCGAGTAAGAACAGAATACGATTACTGGAGAAAATGGTCAATTAATTAGATGGAGCTACTGCTATCACACTCACAGATTATCTAGTATTTAATAACCACACTTGAAACAACAGCTATCAGTTTTCACTAGTCGGATCAAGAATGATGAAAATCATAAATATTAATAACCATACCCTGTTCCTGTATCAAAAAGGTGATGATCTTCAATATCCCTTGAGGAAATCAATGCATCTTGACATCCACAATGCAATGAAAAACAATATTCCTAAAGAATTAAATATACCATTACCCTGTTGGCTAATTGGAATATGAGTGCACAATCTAACTGATTAGAGATTTCGTCTACACACAGATCATGGAATTGGAGAGAGTTAGTGATTTCTTCTACATCCCAATTTATCTCTTGGAAGATTCCAAAGTGATTTGATTGATCTAAATGTATACGGATTTCATTGACAGATTCATGTTGCTCTTTAATGTTGAGAGGATTTTGGTGGTGCAAATTGCAAAGACATCAAAAACAGCCAGAAAACATGTTGTTCGAAGTCAAATAAATGACTTAATGGTGCATAAGTCATAACTCATGGCTGGAATGTCAAACTGGAGTGCAAGAGTATACAGCAAAAAACTAAGATGAAGATCTTTCAGATGAGCTCAACATTAAAGCAATCACAGTTCAAATATAAGTTATTAAATTTCCAATCAACTTTACGGATTGACACAGAGTTCAGAAGGAATGGTGAGCACATGATCAAAAACTGAACAATATCTCTAACAAATAAATTAAAGACCAATTCAAAAACTTCTAATCAAGCTAAAGAACAGGTGGTTTGGAGCTAAGATGCAGATTTTCAAAGATGACGAGTTTATGATCAATTGATGAATGATGAACGGTCAAGATTAAAGAATACAATTTTCAAGTTTGTTTAGAGGAGAACAGAGGTCATCTCGCTGCCGCGGGTGGCTGCTGCTTGTCTGCCCGCGTCCATATAAAGCGCTACTCAATTCCTGCATCTTGATTCCTGGCCGACAAAACCGGTGCTGCCCTAAACGCCCTGGTTATTTTTTGGTGAACATATCAAAAAAGCATCTTGCACTTACCTGAAAACTCAGAAAGATCTACATAAACTCCAATGAAAATCAAGTTTTCCTTAAGCTGTCAACCTAACTGCAAGTGCACAAAAAGGCGTGATGGTAACCAGCGTACAAAATCTTCCACACAAGAATATGTTAGTCAGTTGCATTGATGAAGCTCAAGCATTGGTTGGGATTACACCTACAAGTAGAGTTGCAAGCTCTTCAGCAGTCCCTTGGGTTATTAGACTACGTAAACAAATTTGCAGAGCGTATGGATCTTCATTCTCAATTGACATCCTCAACTGTGATCCTTTAATTTGATGTTACTCCTAGAGCTTTTCCTCTGCTCATTAAACGTCCAAGATACGCTACTGCACAACGGGTTACACTTTCCAAATTAATCCGAAAATTCCAAAGTCATTGTTCATAAGAGAAATGCAATTGATTCGCTGTAACAAACGCTCTGATACTAAGTGTTATACAGCTCACTTTGATCTTACCTTATATAAAAAGGGGCAGGTTGAGCAAACGGAACAAAGTATTCATCTAACTCCCTAGTGAAGTTTTTTCAACTTTCCAGAAAACACAACTGCTAACCTGAAAATACTAAGTGTTGGGGTCAGGGCCTTGAGCACTTTGGTGTACCTGAGCAGTACGAGTAATATTGAAAAATAAAGGCAAAGTGACTGTGTGACCTCGGGGTAGCTAGAATTTATGTGAGCTTTGAGTACAAATAGGAGACTAGCTTCAAGTTTTGCATTAACAACTCCTTGCTCATATACTTTTTTTTGTTACTTTCCATAGAACATCCCACCTAGGTTATATGGAACGTACGTTTTAGGCTATGATATATATTTGCTTTATTTATGATTTTTTTCAGGTCTTAATGGTGTTGACACATCACCTCTCCTGGTTCATCAGCACTCCTGACACATCAACATTCGGGACTTCGATTTAATATGGGAAGAAAATATGATGTTATATTTCATTTGACTCGGATTTACGCGAGTAACCCTATCACGTTTATTGCTCTAAATTCTAACCCTGCCAACACTCAAACATTATCAACCGTAAGTCCAACTAGTGCAATTTTTTTCTCATCCACCAAGCTTGTCACTAAGCAGCCTTCGACATCACACAAACATCACAGTGCTAAGTCATAGTTGCCTTAGCAATTTCTCATCTAGTTTTTTGCTTCTTTTGAACTTTCAGGAGTTTGACAAGCATAACAGTTAACCCAATGACAAGGTATATACGTACCATGTCACATTATAATATTTTCCTTGACTAAGCGAAGCTCTATAACAAACAACTAAGGTGGTTGAACACCTTGGCAATGTTCAATTTTGAGATAATCTAAAACTGGGCAAGACAAATATTATAGAAAGTTCA